GTTACTCTTCACTTTTACCGTGATATATTTTTGTTCAGCTGGAAAAATATTAAATTTAGAACAGACGGGTAAAAAAAAAATCATCCCATTTTATCCAAACTGCAGTATAAGAAATTTTAAAAATTGTATTTCAAATTTATTTTAAAATTAATAAAACAAATATATATTAATTAAAAAATACATGATATTTTAACTTCAACATTTTTAGACTAATTTGATAATTGTTTGTTTCTTTGCAAAAAACAGACAAGGTTTCATAAAGGATTTTGAAAAATGTTCATGAAAAAAATTATAATTTCTATCTCCAAAAGGAATGGTTTTTGGCTTATTATTGATGCATGCTTTATTTAAACACTTAGAAACACAAACGTTTAAATCTTTTAATAATATTCTTTTATAGGGCATTCTTGGAGTGTTTTTTAACGACATCGTTTTATTAAATGTAAAATTGTCAAAAAATATTTGTATTTCACTTTTACACACTATTACACTACAATACATTAAAACATTTTTATAAGTTTATATTTATTATTCTATTGTTGTGGTTTAAATTTTATATATTTTTTATATTATTTTCGCTGCATTACCGCTAGCTGCAAGCATTTCAAAGTCGCGTCCCACACTGACAAAAGGGTAGAGAACTTATTCACCAACGCATTCGGCTGCCAGGGTTGCCACCGTGCCAAAAGCCCCCACAAAATAAGAAAAAAAAAAGAGTGCAGAGACGGGCAAAAATGGTAATAAAAGCAAATGAATCGCACCAAGTGCATCCAATGCACACATACAAAGGGGGGAAGAAGTGGATAAAGGGGAGGGGGAGGAGGAGAGACAAGCCGGCCGCTTTTTGCGTGGCAATTTGTTTGTGTGTATTGCAATTTCTGGCTGCACTCTACTCTCTTGCTCTCTCGCTGTCACAAACACACGCAAATACTAAAGATTTATAAGCTACATATATTTCTTAAATATATTTTCCCCTTTGTAATCTGAATTTTAATAAATTTCTCGCTTACCATCGCTGCAAAACGTAGATGCAACCACACATTTTCAGGTTTTTTTCCCCATTGGTACACTCTATCGCACCTGTCAAAAGCAAATTATTGCTCTTTCGAAAACCACAAAAATCCGTCACAATTTGCAGTGTAGTCCCGCACACACTTGCAGCCAATACGAGTACACCCACACGCACACAGTTGCAGCAGGAAGAGGAAGCGCGATTCGCGAACCGCCGTGTGCAACGAGACTTTTGCAAATGAAATGCAATTTTCAATTCAAAATTCGCGACAAAAGAAAGCGACGCCGGCAGAGGCAGCGGCAGCGACGTCGGCAGCGACGACTGCTGCAAAATGACGCTCAGCGAGGGCAACAACAACAAACAGCAGCAGGAATGAGTTTGCAAATCAAAGAGAGCCGATAAAGCTTGCAGTTTCTCTTAATCAGGTGGATGACTGCTTTTTGTTGTTGTACAAATGTATGTGAGAGTATCTCTTAGTGTGTAAGTGAATGGCTGCAGTTGCAGTGCACCTTTGACTTTGCAAACACAAAATCAGCCCTTTTGTCAACGGGGACGTAGTACACGTAATGACGAAGCACACCAGCAGAGAGTGCAAAAAGGACTACTATAAATCGAAATAAAATCACCTCACCTGCTATCGGCCAAAGTAAAATTTTTTGGATGAAAACTAAAATGGGAAATTAATTTTATTGCAATGTTTATATTAACCGATCCACTAAATAAATGCGTTTTCTTCATTTTAAGTTTTATAGCTTATTAAATGGTGATTTTATTTCGATTTATAGTAGTCCTTTTTGCACTCTCTGCTGGTGGACTTCGTCACTACGTGTACTGCTTCGGCATGCCGAAGCTTAAATACCCTTGCAGTTCATATACAATCTTACCGTTTAATTAGGTTGGGTCCCGTTTCTGGTATATCGGATGTATTTTTAGATTTGGTTTTTAAATTGTCAAAAATTAAAATGCCTACATCAAAACGAAAAACGTATAATTTTTTTAATATTCCTACGAGAGCCATAAGATATAGTGGTCTGATCCGGGTCGTTCCAGAGTATGTACTACATGCAGTAGAAAGAAGACTTTTGCAAGCTGAGAGCTTAGTTTGCAAAGAAACGGACAGACGGACATGGCTAGATGGACTCGTCACGTGATGCTGATCAAGAATATATATATTTTATGTGGTCGGAAACGTCTCCTTCTCTACGTTTGCAAACATCGGACTGAAATTATAATACCCTCCGCAAGGGTATAAAAAATGTGTGAAATTTGTAAGATCCTCCTAGGACATAGGGTCTATACAGTGGGCATTATGTCATTTATGGTAGACGAAAAAAAATATATAATATAAGAAACACGAGGGAGGGTCTACAATTCGGTTACAAAGTTTATCACTCATACGCACTGTTGCCATTGATCAAAAAGGTATTTTAATCTAGGTGGCGTATAATATATTAATATCCTTTTTTTTAATTTTTAACCAGTTAACTCCTAAATCTTTAAATAAAATAGTTTACCTTTTGACTAAACTAACTTAACTAAACTTAACTACCATATTAAAAAAGACAGAAAATGATTCTACATTTGGACCACCCCAAATTACCTAGGGGACTAAATAGTTTAGCTAAGTCTTTCGATATCTGTACTACTGGCACCTGCTAAATAAAGCCGCGTAAAAATTGAGTAGCGCTGTTGTTGCTTGATGCAAAGTTGCCAAACTAAAATCGTTGTCTTTACTAGTAGGTCTTGCATATACACAAATTTTATTTTACCACTTCGTGAAGAATTGATGAAGCAATTGGAGGATTTTTTTTTATTCGGAAACCGCGTGTATTCCGGCGTACAGAATTTTTTTTTAATTTAAATTCTCTTAAAAAATACTTAATTTTAAAATTAAAAATTTTTAAAATTATTTTTCTGAAAGACATGAACATATCCCATAAAGAAGGATACCAAATATTGAAATAACTCAAACGAGTCTCAAGTGCTGAATAACTGCAAAATCAGAGCTAATTTAAACAAATATTTAAAAAAAATAGTTAAAAAAAAATTAAAAACCGATCCTTATATTTCAATCCTCTATCGAAAAAAAAAGTTTCGATTGATACTGAGATTTGACCCAAATTGGCCTGTCACGTTTCACGTGGAATGAGCCTATTGTAGAAAATTTCCATTTATTTAAAATAGCTAAGTCTTTCGATATCTGTACTACTCGCACCTGCTAATTAAAGCCGCGTAAGAATTAAGCGCGCTTAAAATTTAACCACACAGGAAATTGGTTTTAAAAACCGATGAATTAAAATCGGTTTGGATCACAGCTAAATTTGTATGCAGCGGAATATTCCCAAGTAATTATTTAACATTAACGATCTTATATTCTTTAGAGAATGTGGATTTTTGGATTCCTTCGACTTCAAGCTGGAGTCGGCTTTGTTGGACATAAAACGGACATACAGAAGGCGTCTATTTACATGCTGTATGTAGGGGAGAGGTCTGTAGGTTGAGACAGTCTTTAAGTTGAGACACTCAATTTTCTCAAAACTTTTCCACAAAAAAATTTTTTTTTATTTTTTTTTTGTAGTCCTTTTAGTGACAAAACTTTAGGGGAAAACATTATAAGCCAGGCTCTAGCCAGATTTAAGCTGTGAGAGTCGTGTACCATTTTGCACCAAAAAAATTTTTGTCTACTTTTTTCAAAATTCCATTTAAAATTAATAACGTCCTCAAATTAACTTGGTAAGAAATTTAAAACATTAGTATATTAACTGTTAACTAATTAAAAAAAGAATCCGCTTAATGTGACAGTCAGAACAAAAGTTATTAATTTTTTCCCGAAACATCCCATTTTGTGTAAGTTGAGACACCCGTTTTTCATACAAAAAGGCCTGAGGCCAACAAAGGTCGCTTTCTGCCTAGTACATTTCTTTGATATTAGGGGAAAAGTGAATGTTCAAAGAGCCTTTTGATTTTGATTGTTATTTGGTCTAAGTTCTTAAAAAATGGATGGGAAATGATTTAGGACGAGCTAAGATTGATTAAATTAACATAAATAAATAGTTCCTTATAGTTTGGAGTACTTTTTGTGTGAGTATTATTGACTTTAAAAAGTTTCTCAACCTACAGACCTCTTTTTCAAATTGTCATTTTCTGGCACTTTTCAAAAAAAATTATTTTTTAGTTTTCCCAAGGGAAAAAAAAATTTTTTTTTGCTTTATTTTACAGCTAAAAGACTAAGCTTTCGATCGGTACCTAACACGTGAAGTTTCAAAAGCGAATGTCCAAATGGGAGACTAAAAACACAAGGTGTCTCAACCTACAGACCTCTCCCCTAGTCAGTATAATTTTTCCATATCTTAATCATCCCACCGACGTTAAGTCAACTAGGACGAAAAGCAATTCGAGGCTTAAAGTACCTTTAAAAGATGAGCAATTATCCTAGTCATTCTTGCTTTCATAACTTTCATAAATGTCAAAGATATTATTAGATATTTATATTTAGATAGATATAGATATTATTCCTTGTCTAGAAAATACTTGAAATATTTTATACCTTTTTATCAACATTATTTTTATTACATTATTATAATTATTATCTACGGTGCCATAGGCCGTAAAAATAAAAAATGGAAAATATTAAACTATTGTAGAAAAGTTCCATCTACTCGTATACATATCATATCTCAGTGCTTTTAATTACATAACTAAGCCTAGAGCCTGGCCGATTTCATGAAAACGCAGGGTGAAGGGTTAAAGGATGCTGTCCAGGATTACTGGACATGTGATTGGCACCCTGAGCACCGCTGCACTTGATCTGGGCGCCGATCTGGGCAGCATGTCCCTCGTTTCGGGCACAAACATTGTAAATTAAATTAATTAAAAAATTCAAATTCGAGCGGGCAAAACAAAAAAAAAATTGGCAGCTCCGTCATTGGTGTAGAAAAAGAGTTGGCAGCTCCGAAAGTTTGGAGTATCGATGAATGGTGTCATCAATTGTTTTCCACCTCTAGCCACCGCACTCGTGCGAACGAATTTTAATAATAATTTGAATTTATTAATTAAAACCGAGCAATCCCGCAATGGCATCCATCCTGAGAACGGGGAAACTGCTGCGCTACTTCGCTGGCTTCACGAGAAACGTGGTGGTGAGCTCGGTGCGCGAGAATGAGACCAGCAATCTGCTGAACAGTGCGCCCTGCATGTGCGGACAGTTCCAGAAGTGAGTAAAAACCACAAAGTACCGGCATTACGCAATGCATTCGGGCATTTATGTAAATAGTTGGGGATCAGTCATCTTGCGTTGATTGGTATCTGAATAGAAGGGAGCATGTCACTTGAAGGCGGGGTATCTTAGCTGTCGAATGTTTCTAATATTTACATAACCTCATCTGGAATAGGAGACCCATGGGTGGCACCTACATATGTGGTCATCCCATAGTGGACTTAGAAAGTTTAATCATATTACAAATCTTGGTTTGGAAAATTTAAAATATAAAGAAACCATTCATTTAAATGAAATTTCTATTCTATACATAGCTTAGTTACACTTTTAATATATGACTTACTAAATCCTGTAATATTTTACTCAGATACAAAGTTCTATAAATTAAACATGTTTCCAATATTTATATATTTATTTAAATAAAGCTAACTTAAAAGTTCCTATTTTTGTGGCACACTAAAAACTAGTTTGTTTTGGGACTACATTTACCTAATTAGCGTTTAATAAATTAAAAAAAATATATTATTGTATTTTTTAACTAATTTATTAATTCTTTATGATATCCCTTTAGTGGCTTTGCCACAAATGCCGCTGCAAAAGCTGAGCTGAGTCTGGACAAGCAGATTCGCCGGCTGGACCAGGATGTTCGCCGCATTGGACGCATTTCTCGGCGGGATCTGGAGGAGATACTCGATGAGATTCGCACCCACAGGACGGCCACCAGCTCGCAATCCTTGCTGGTGATCCGCTGCTGCGGAAACCTGGTGCCCGAGGAGCTGCCGGAGGTCAGGACGGCTTTGGTCCAGGAGATCTGGAAGACCCTGAATGCCCTGAATGTGCCCATGGACATCTCGCACTACAATGCCCTGCTGCGAGTCTATTTGGAGAACGAGCACGGCTTCGCGCCCACTGACTTTTTGGCGGAGATCGAGGCCAAGGGAATCGAGCCCAATAGGGTTACCTATCAGCGATTGATTGCCCGTTACTGCCAGCAGGGAGACATAGAAGGGGCCACCAGGATTCTGGAATTTATGAGGGCCAAGAGCCTGCCGGTCAATGAGAATGTCTTCAATTCCTTGATTCTGGGACATTCGCAGGTTGGTGACATCGAAATCAGGGCTCGGAAAAAAAGACACTCTGTAAAAAACTTGTGTAATACTATACATTAGCGGGCTCACCCCCGAAATTCGCGAAAAAATTATCCTCGATGGACCGCGATTTCTTAAGATTTTTCGTGCAAAAAGAATTTGGCGGTCGGCCATGGTTCTCTTGTAATTGAATTTCAAAGTTCCCGGGTTTGCTATAAAAAACAAGTATGCTTTTCTAACGTTTGCTATAAAAATCATATATGTATATATGTACCCTTTTCCTTTTTTGTCAAAATAAGACTAATTTAAAATTCCAAACATCTGAGTAATTGGTATTATAGGGAACTAGTCCTCACAACCGCGTAAAAATGATCCTCGATGGACAGCGAGTTCTTAAGAACTCTCATAACCATGGATGACCACATGCGTATTTTTATTAGGATAATCAAAAGAAATCGCGGTCCAAGGAGGATTATATATTTAAACCTTTCTTTTAGTCTTTTCCACCCAAAACTAAACTTAAAGATTGAATTTGTATTTTCTGAGCGACACACCAACCCTAATTCAGCTATAACTACTAGCTTAATATTGAACAAAAATACTGCGCCGCAGCCAAAAAAAATTTAAGAAAAAATCGCGCGATTTTTTCTTAAATTTTTTTTGCCTGCGGCGCAGTCTTTTTTTAAATTTCTTTTTTAAACGCACTTCTTTCAAATACTTTCTATTCGGGAATACTTCAGCAGGGAGATATCTAGGCCATAAAAGGTTATTAAAAAAAAAACCTGGAACTTTACCTCAATGGTGGTGCGGAAAAGTGTTCATTAAAACTTTTAATTTAAAAAAATTCTCCATTTTTTTATAGGAACTCATTTAATCAATTAAATAATTTGATAGGAACTCATTTAAACAATATATTAATTTTATAGGAACTCATTAAAACTTAATTACGTTGATTGAAAATATGAGAAAAGCACCCTTGTTTTTTATAGCAAACCCGGGAACTTTGAAATTCAATTACAAGAGAACCATGGCCGACCGCCAAATTCTTTTTGCACGTAAATTCTTAAGAAATCGCGGTCCATCGAGGATAATTTTTTCGCGAATTTCGGGGGTGAGCCCGCTAATGTATAGTATTACCAAAACTTGTGTTATTAACATGTTAAATGACAAAGTGTTAAATTCAAAAAAAGTTATTGACATGTGTGTAAAAAATTGTAGCTTACATATGTTGGAAACATAAATAACACACACAGGTTATTTGTGTTATTTACACGACGTGTTTTTTACACAACGTGTTTTTTACACAATGAGTTTTTGACATTAACACGTCAGAATAACAATTTAGATATCCTGGTCCAATATTAATTCTTTAATTCTTCGATTCGTTAATTAATTAAAAACACAGTGTGTAAAAAACACACATTTTAACACTTTTGTTTTTGAACCATGTCAAAAACTTTGCTCACACTGTAAAATACAATTTTAATGTTTTTAACATGTGTGTTAAATTCCGAACCCTGATCGTCTCTATATATTTTGAAATACATAATTAAATTTAATGTTTTGTTATATATTTATAAATTAAACTTTAAAATATCTTTACAGGCCAACGACTTGGAATCCGCCAAGGGCATTTTGGGTGTGATGAAGCAGGCAGGATTGGAGCCCAGTGCGGACACCTACACGACTCTTTTGTGCGCCTTTGCCCGCCACGGAGACCTGGCTGCCCTCAAGGAAACGCTAGCTGAGTGCGAGCAAAAGGAGATCATTCTGCTTGACAAGGATTTGCTGGACATTGTGTACACGCTCACCGTCAACGGCAATGGAGAGCAGGTGGATGAGATTCTGCCCAAGCTGCGCCTCTCGCCTGGCTTCAATCAGGATGCGGTGAATGTGATCCTGCGCCTGGTCAACAAGGGACACGAGGATGTGGGGCTGAAACTGCTCCGCGTGATGCCGAGGAGTAATCGTGTGAACGGCGAACCCGTTGATGTGGGAGCCTTCTTCATCAGGCAGATGGTCAAGGCCAATCGGCCAGTGGAGAAGATCCTGTCCATCTGCAAGACTCTGCAGGCGGAGGGGCTCAATCCAAAGGCTCTGACAATTGCCACTGAAGCAGGCTTGACGAACGGAGTGGTGAACAATGCCTTGCCTTTGCTCCAGGAGATGAAGAACGCTGGTTTGCCCATCAGACAGCATTATTTCTGGCCCTTGATCTGTTCGGCCGAGTCCAATCAGGTTTTGGAAATCGTGCGTCGCATGCAGCAGGAGTTCTCGGTGTTCCCCAACTCGGAAACTGTCCGGGACTATGTGATTCCCAACTTGAAGGAGAAGAACTGGGAGCGAATCGTCACCGCCTTGCGGGATGCCGGAGTTCCCAACTCGACTGCTGTAACCTCGGCTGTTTACTCCGCCCTGGTGACCCACCAAATTGCCGATGCAGCCAAGATAATGGAGCAAAACAGGGCTTACTATGTGCCCTTCTTGTTCAGACAACCCTTGATTTTGGCTCTAAGTCACACAAATGATTATGCCTCCTTTATCCGCTGCGTTCGCCAGATTCACGAGGGTTTGCAGTTTAGACAAGGCAAGGAGGAGGAAGCCGAGGCGGTGGAAGGCGGAGCAGCAGCGGATCGCAGCACTCCTGATGTTGTTGGTGCAATTGTCCAGGAGGCCTTCATTTATTTCCGCCGAGATCGCGCTGCTACCTTGGAGAAAATTCTCAAGGGATTGGTCAAGCAGGGATTGTCCATTAGCAGTGCCAAAGCGAGCCAATTATCCGAGCAATTGGGCTCGGAATTGACACCAAGGATTTCCGAACTTTTGGGCAAACTAAGCTCAGGCGAACTGGAGCCAGTTCCTCTGCCAAACAGCGGCAAGAGAAGTCTGGACTCGCTGTCCATTGATGGTAAGTAATGTCCCCCATTTTCCTTTACTGGAATTCTTTACAATTTAATATTTATTCCCAGAACTCGAGCGATTCATAGTCAACGTAGAAAGCAAGGGAGAGAATGCCAACAACATCAAGCGACAACTTTTGAGCGCCTGTTTCCGTTCACAAAACCTGGATAAAACTCTCCAAGTCATCGAGAAATTAGAGACAGAGAAATTTCAGATCCCGATTGGCATCTATGCTCAGCTCATCGATCTCTATACGCATCACAAGAAAAGCGCCGAGGCTTTGGAGGCGTACGACAAACTGAAGGCCAAGGATGCCACCTTCAAGTTGGATAACTTGAAGGCTGTTCGCCTGGCTGATCTCCTCCTGCAGGAGGAACGTGTTGATGCTGCCTTTAAGGTACTCGAGGATAACAAGAAGGATGCTCCCATCGCCGAAGCCGAAGGAAGCTTCAACTATGTGAGCGCCGTTTGGAGAACTTTGAATTCGCTCGCCGAAGCTGGCCAAGCGGAAAAACTGCGCAAACTATTCGATGCCCTGGTGGCTGCCAATTACGTTGTGCCCACTAATGTGCTCCTGGGACCCCTGATCAAGGTTCACCTGGTCAAGGATGACATACCGAAGGCCATCGAAGCGTTTGAGGAGATTTGCCAGAAGCACAAATCGACGCCTTGGAAAAATGAGCTGGCTTGCCGTTTGATCCAAAAAGAGGATGCAGCGAATCTGCAAAAGCTGACCGATTTGAGCACTGGCATCCATGGTGAGGTGAACAGCCTTTACGATCTGGTCTTCTCGTTTGTGGAGTGCGGCCGCGTGAGGCAGGCCAGGAAGATCCTGGAAACCCCCGGACTGCGTACACGTCCCCAGAGAATCAGCAGTGCCTGTGATCGCTACAAGAACGAGGGACTTCTACAGCCCCTGGAAGGTCTCATAGAAGCCACCAAGGACCTGGGCCACATCGATAGAAACAAGATTTACTACACACTTCTTTTGAGCTACGACAAGGCAGATGAGGCGGAGAAGGCACTTGGTTTATGGACCAAAATGCAGGAGGAGGCTGTGACCCCCAACGATGCTTTCCTCTTGAAATTAGCTGAAATTCTGCGGAGGAAGAACATTGAAGTGCCTTTCGTGGTGCCCGAAACGCAAAAGGAACAAGCTAAGGCTAGGAAAAACAAAGCCAACAGTGAAGCAAAAACAGAAGCTACTACAGAAACTGCTAAAGCTGTAGAAAAACTGAAAGAGAAGATCCCTAAGAAGGAGCCAACTAAAACTAGTCCGCCGCCAAAAACGGTTTCCCATTTGTCCGGCTTCCGCAAAGCCATCCTGGCCAACGATCCCGATGCGGCCATCTCCCATAAACAAAGTTTTCTAAGTGGCGAGAAGGTTGGTGCTTTGGACACCTCCCGACTGATTGAACTTCTGGTTCGTGCTGATCGCTTAACAGAGGCCACCAAATATGTTGAGGAACTCCTCGCTGATAAGCTGCATCCACAGCCCAAGATCTTTAAGTTTTACCTGAACAAAATTGCCGCTGCTGGCGACTTGGAAACGCTTGAGAAGGTTGGCAAGCAGCTGAACGAGGAGCAAAAGCGTCTGGTCTCCTTCGACAATCGGTTTTGTCATGCTAATATAGTGGCCGGAAAGGCGGAGCAGTTCCTCAAGCACTTGACCACGGAAATTGAGGCAGCCAAAACTTCTGAGGAGGCGATCAAGCTGGCCGAAAAGTTCCCGCGCGGCGGAGCTGTGGGCATTTTGGACAAACACCCGGAATTGGTGCCTCAATGTATGTTTTTTTAAATATTTTTTTAAGACTACAAATTAATCCATATTTTTTGCAGACCAATCGCTGGCTGAGAAATTTGCCGCCCACAATCAACTCGGCCCCATGAATGTCCTGTGGATGCACCTCATTTCCAGTGGCCAGGAAGTGGCCTCCAAGCAGATCTGGGATAAGCACCTGTCCAACGCACCAAGGCTGATGTTCCAGCGCGTTTTGCAGACGGCACGGGAACAGCAGGACGAGAAACTCGCCTCCACGGTCATTTCCCAGCTGAAGAACAGCAAAATCTCCGAGGGCGCCATCGGAAATGCCTACTCCTGCCTCATCGACATCCAGACGACCAAGGGCAACTCGGACAAGGCCATGGATGTGCTGGCCAACGCCATCAAGGATGTCTCCCTGGAGAACATCAATAGGACAGCCCTGCTGCGCCTGAAACAGGCGGTGGAGGAGAAGTCTCAGAAGTTCCCCTACACGATCCCCGAGAAGCGAACGAAGGCCGATGACTCCAGCTCCTCGTCGTCTTCCTCGTCCTCCAGCGACGACGATGTGTCGCCACCGATACCCGAAACCGTTCCACCCAAACCGGACAGCAAGGCTTAGTGGCTTTTGGGACAAGTCCCTCTCTAGTTTAACCCGTCGTGATTAAAGCCTATTTTTAAAGTATTTACTATGGATAAACAATTTGTAAACTAAAATAAATTTAGTTGTTTTGTTGCGAAGTTGCAGTGACTATGGAATTATTTACAAATTTTGTAGGGGAATATTAAAACAAATGCATGGTGTACTAAATATTTTTGGACCAATAATTTGTACATTTATGCTATTAAATTTGATAAATGTCAATATAAACATTTTATTTTATTTTTATCTGATAACTATGCAATGTATTAAATAATACTTATAATTATTTTTGCGATAGCTTCAGTTCAGGTATACTTATTTTCCTTTGCAAGCGGCTTCGCAGTCCAGTATAGACTTGAAATTATTTTCGTTTCCTTGACATCCACCAAATAAAAATTCAGTGCACTTTTTGTCTGCAGAATTGTAATAGACCCGGTGAAGCCCGGCTTTGCAAGGCCCAACAACCTTCGGAAGCTTGCAAATATCCGGAGCTAAAAACATTTGACTTGAACAGATCATTACATATAATTTTAGTCTTCATACTTACAATTCCCCATGATCGAATCAATTAAAGGAATCAGAAAGAAGGCAAGAAAAATTAATTTCATGTTTATAGCTCTTAAATGATGTGAGACAACTAAATTCTAAGTGCCGTGTCCCAGAATAAATACACGAACGCCCTTTTTCTAATATCTGTGAAATATTATTTAGATATAATTATAATTTATACAACGTTTAAAAATACACTCAGAAAAAAATCGGTCTGAATTTTGGCTACCAGCTGAACAGAAAAGAATTTTACGAAAAATCAACCCGATATTTCGACATATTTAAAGATCAAGTTTTTCATATCATTTTAATATGAATAACAATTATATTGAAATTATTTTATATTATTTGGCTATATCAAATATCAAACACCACTATTAAAATCGTAACACACTATTTTCTTTTCTTCAAATCAGAGATTTAAGGTTCCTTTAAATTTAAAAATCGGGCGAGAAAACGCCCTTTTTTATTTGGTCCTGTTATTTATTTGATTTATTTGGTCATGATAAAAAAATAATACATATCAAATCAATACTTATTTATTTTTTGCGTTATCTTTAGTTTAACCGGGAACACTTATTTTCCTTTGCATGAGGCTTCGCAGGCCTCCAGAGTCAAGAAATTATTTTCGTTTCCTTGACATCCACCATATAAAAACTTAGTGCACTTTTTGTCTGCAGGATTGTAATAGAACCGGCGATGCCCGGCTTTGCAAGGCCCAACAACCTTCGGAAGCTTGCAAATATCCTGAGCTAAAAACATTTGACTTGAACAGATCATTACATTTAATTTTAGTCTTCATACTTACAATTCCCCTTGATCGAATCAATTAAAGGAATCAGAAAGCAGGCAAGAAAAATTAATTTCATGTTTATAGCTCTCAAATGATATGACAAAACTAAATTCTAAGTGTCGTGTCCAGAATAAATACACGTACGTCATTTCTCTAATATCTGTGAAATATTATTTAGATATACTTATAATTTATACAACGCTTAAGAAATACACTCAGAGAAAAAGCGCTCTGAATTTTAGAAACCAGCTGAACTGAAAAGAATTTTAAGAAAAATCAAGCCGATTAGTGGTGCTCACTTCGACCTATTCAAGGATCCAGTTTTTCATATAATTTTGATATGAATAACGATTATATTAAAATTGTTTTATATTATTTTAAAACAATTACAAAATTTGGTCAAGAGTACCTATTTATACTTCTAATTTATATGATAAAATATCTAACACCACTATTAACATCAAAACACACTATTTCCCTTTCTTCAAGTATTTTCTAGCATTAAAAATACAATTCTAAATTTAAAGTAGAGTATAAATCGTCAGAGATTTCGGTTCCTTTAAATTTAAAAGGCGGCCGAAAAAACGGCCTTTTTTATTTGGTCCTGATTTATAACATAATAAATATTAAATTAATACTTATTACTTTTTTTGCAGAAGCTTTAGTTTAACCGGGAACACTTATTTTTCTTTGCATGAGGCTTCGCAGGCCTCCAGAGTCAAAAAATTATTTTTGTTTCCTAGACATCCACCATATATGAATTTAGTGCCGTGTCCCATAATAAATACACGTATGCCATTTCTCTAATAGCTGTGAAAAATTTTTCAGATGTACTTACAATTTATGTTTTTAAAACAGAAACAAATCAGCTGAACTGAAAAGAATTTTACGAAAGATCAACCCGATTAGTGGTGCTCATTTCGACCTATTTAAGGATCAAGTTTTTGCATATAATTTTGATATGAATAACGATTATATTGAAATTATTTTATAATATTTTAAAAATATTACAAAATTTGGAAAAGTGTACCTATTTATACTTCTAATTTATATGATAAACACCACTATTAAAATCGTAACACAATATTTCCCTTTCTTCAAGTATTTTCTAGCATTAAATATACAATTCTAAATTTAAAGTAAAGTATAATCGTTTGGGAAATCAGGGATTTAAGGCTCCTTTAAATTTAAAAGGCGGCCGAAAAAACGGCATCTTTTATTTGGTCCTGATAACTAGGCAATTTATAAAATAATACAAATTAAATTAATACTTATTACTTTTTTGTGTAAACTTTAGTTTAACCGGGAACACTTATTTTCCTTTGCATGAGGCTTCGCAGGCCTCCAGAGACAAGAAATTATTTTTGTTTCCTAGACATCCACCATACGTAAATAGAAGACACTTTTTGCTAGTTGGATTGTAATAGAAACGTTGGTGATACCCGGCTTTGCAAGGACCTTTAACCTTCGGAAGGTTGCAAATATCCGAAGCTAAAAACATTTGAGTTGAGCAGATCATTATATTTAAATTTAGTCTTCATACTTACGATTGCCCATGATCGAATCAATCAAATTAATCAGAATATAGACGAGAAAAATTAATTTCATGTTTACAGCTCTCAACTGAATTCGAAGTCCCAGAATAAAATAAAGGTATGACATTTTTCTAATATCTGTGAAAAATGGATTTTAAATAAACCCTTGCGTAACTAAGTCGATTAGGATGTACTTGAAATGTACACTGCAAGGTTTAAAAAATATACCCAGAAAAAAAATTACATTTTTTAAAATCGTCATAATTTTGTCTATTGAATTTTTTTTTTATAAAAGTTCCCATATATATAAAATCTGATTGGCGGGAAAAATTAAGTGGTCTTCAGTTTACTTGTTACCATTTGAGATAGAATTTACTAAATTTACAGAGGAAATATTTTTTGTATTGTTTCTTAAATTACTTCATACGCTTAATATATTTTGGAATTCCAATTAACTTAACTTCTAATCTTTAAAATGTCAGTTGGGTGAAACCGCTAATAATGTTTGCAATATTTGTGGTATATTTTTAGTATTATTTCAGTATATATACTACATTAAACCAAACTGCTTATCCAAACAGTGTCGGGTGGGTGTCACAGCTAGCATAGCTGCGTCAACCACCTAACATTTCAGCATGTCTGAAATGGTATATTTCAAAACAAAAAAGGGTATATTTCTGAGCCGGGTGGTATAATTAGGCGCTATTTGCGCGGTCACACTGTTCACTATCGCCGCGTTGTGTTTTTTTTGCCCACGAATTTTCATCGTTGTTTTCCCGAAAATATTCCGGATTTAACCGCGCGATGGGGGAAAGCGATGCCGAGAGCGATTCGAGCAGCAATTCCAGCAGCAGCGGCACTTCCAGCGGCAGCGACAGCGACGCCAGGAGCGAATCCTCCTCGTCGGCGAGCAGCGGGCGTGAGGAAGAGGAAGCAGAGCTGAAGCCGTCCGCCAAAGATGCGAAAAAAAATGATGATAGGGATGGTGGGGAGGACAGCGATAAGGAAAGGGGAGCTGGAGGGGATGAGGATACAGCCGAGCAGGAAAAAGTTCCAGTGGAAGACTCCCGTTCGGAGCCCAAGCAAATTTCCCAATCTGCTGGCGTGGAAAAGCAGCAAGAAGAAGCAGCAGCTGCAACGGCGGAAAGTGAGAAATTAAATGAAGCGGAAAAAGTAGAAACACCTGTCCAGCGGGAAGAAGAGGAAGCAGAAGCCACAGGTGTGACGAAAGAGCTGGAAAAACCGAAGTCCCAGACAGAGCAAGCTGGAGAAGAAGCAGAAGAGCGGGGGAAGGAGGAGCAAGAGGAGCCGGTGACCACCAATGGAAGCGAAAAGGAATCCCCGAAGGAAGCCGCTGGGGGAGCAGTGGAGACTTCCAAGGCGGACCATATCGAGGAGGGCGAAATAACCGATGTAAGTGGAAACGTATTGCTTTGAAAGGTTCATTTCATCATCCTTGAAATTCAAAATTTTGCTAAAATCGTTAAAATTTTAAAAAATAAATCATAAACTTCATATTTAATTTAATAATACAATCATATCTTTTAAAAATTTGGCTATAATCGTTTAAATCCAAAAAAATTTATCATAAACTTGATATTTTATATAATAAAACAATCATATCTTTTAAAAATGTGGCTATAATCGTTAGAATCTCAAAAAATTAATCATAAACTTCATATTTTATGTAATAAAACAATCATATCTTTTCAATTTCTCAATTTTGTTGCCAGTCATTCACAATTTTTCAATCAATTTTATGTTTTTAAGTTGAGTATCCGTAAAGTCCATTGTATCCCTAAAATATAAAGTGAAATTGAAAGATTTTTATAAATGTTTTAACAAGATATTACAAAAATCCGTTTACGGAAATTAGTTATCAATTTTATCCTTAAAATATAAAGTAAAACTCGAAAATTTTTAAATATGTTTTTACAAAATATTACAAAAATCCGTTTACGGAATTTATCCATTTTATGCTTAAAATATAAAATAAACCTTAAGGATTTTTATAAAAGTTTTTACAAACGAACTGTTTTTAAACTCAATTCTATTATAATAACGTTCAATTTAATGTTCGGTTTTACTTTCCAATATTTTAGAAAGACGATGATGACGTGCCGCCCACTAAGGAGAGTGAGAAATCCACCGCCGCCGCCCAGAGTAGTCCAGCCAAAGAGACCCACCGTCAACGAAGCCGCAGCCAGGATGCCAAGGGACGTCGGCCACGATCCTCCAGCAGGAGTCTTTCGCCCCGCAGCCGACGTCGTCATCGCTCGCGGAGCAGGAACAGTAGAACCCGCAGCCGCAGTATCAGTCCCATCCGCCGTAGGTCCAATTCCTTGGAGAGACGACGCCTGGAGCGACAGAGACGCCATGAGGAGCGGGATAAGCGGGATGAGAAGAGGGCCAAGGAGCGGGAACAGCGCCATCAAAAGCGAGATAAATCGACCAGCCGGCGTAGAGATGATTCCAGGGAACGGAGGAGGTCTTCGGATCGCAAACGAGATCGTTCCACCTCCAGTCCAGGATCGAAATCATCTAAAACTGCTCGCCAACCAGAAGCCAATAATGCAGATAATGAAACTGTTACCGAACCTTCTGCAAAAATAACTGAGCGTCAAAGGAAAACGGTGGATGTTTTGACCTCTCGGACAGGAGGAGCCTATATTCCACCAGCTAAGCTGCGACTGATGCAGTCACAGATCACGGATAAAGCATCCGCTGCCTATCAGAGAATCGCCTGGGAGGCCCTCAAGAAATCCATCCATGGTTACATCAACAAAGTGAATGTAACCAATATAGCAATCATCACCAGGGAGCTGCTAAGAGAGAATATCGTCAGGGGAAGGGGTTTACTCAGCAGGAGTATCATTCAAGCACAGGCTGCTTCGCCCACTTTCACCCATGTCTACGCCGCTCTGGTGAGCATTATAAACTCAAAGTTTCCGAATATAGGAGAGCTCCTGCTCAAACGTCTCGTCATCCAATTTCGTAGAGCGTTCCGCCGCAACGATAAGTTGGTTTGCATGTCGGCCACCAGATTCATTGGTCACCTGGTCAACCAGCGCGTGGCCCATGAAATTCTGGCCCTTGAGATCCTCACGCTGCTGGTGGAAACGCCCACGGATGATTCGGTGGAGGTGGCCATCAGTTTTCTGAAGGAGTGCGGCATGAAACTGACCGAGGTTTCCTCCAAAGGCATTGGCGCAATCTTCGAGATGCTGCGGAACATCCTGCACGAGGGCAAACTGGACAAGCGAGTGCAGTACATGATCGAGGTGCTGTTCCAGGTGCGAAAGGATGGCTTTAAGGACCACCAGGCGGTTGTTTCCGAACTCGAACTGGTGGAGGAGGACGATCAGTTCACGCACCTGATGATGCTAGACGAAGCCACCGAAACGGAGGATATACTGAGTGAGTAAATTGAAGAAATATTAGTTTTTTTTTGTATCTAATGATGTTCATCTCTTTAAAGATGTTTTTAAATTTGACGACAACTACGCGGAGACTGAGGAGAAGTACAAAGGACTGAGTCGCGAGATCCTGGGCAGCGATGATGGCAGTAGTTCTGGGTCAGGATCCGGATCGGATTCGGATAGCGATTCGGATGGAGAATCCGGTTCGGATGCGGAAAAGAAAACCGAAGCTGGCGGCGATATTATCGACAACACTGAAACCAATCTGATTGCCCTGCGACGCACAATTTACTTAACAATTAACTCTAGTTTGGACTATGAGGAGTGTGCCCACAAGCTGATGAAAATGCAACTGAAACCCGGACAAGAAATTGAGCTCTGCCACATGTTTCTCGATTGCTGTGCGGAACAGAGAACATATGAAAAGTTCTACGGGCTTCTGGCCCAGCGGTTCTGCAACATTAACAAGATCTACATACCCCCCTTTGAGGAGATCTTCAAGGACACCTATCAAACCACACACAGATTGGACACAAATCGCCTGAGAAACGTTAGCAAGTTCTTCGCCCATCTCCTGTTTACCGACGCCATTAGTTGGGATGTGCTCGAGTGCATCCAACTGAACGAGGATGACACCACTTCGTCGAGCAGGATCTTTATAAAAATCCTATTTCAGGAGCTAGCTGAGTACATGGGTTTGGGAAAACTAAATACAAAGCTCAAGGATGAAGTTTTGGTTGAAAGCCTGGCTGGTTTGTTCCCCAAGGATAATCCAAGGAATACCCGCTTCTCCATTAATTTCTTTACCTCCATTGGCTTGGGTGGACTGACCGATGATTTAAGAAGATTCTTGAAGAATGCCCCCAAGGCTGTGCCCGCAATAAATGCTGAAATCCTGGCCACTGCCGGAGGAAATCCTTTCAGAGATGGTTCTGCTCCCGCTGGAAATTCCAAGATAGCCCCACCTTCGTCGTCCTCTTCTTCGTCGTCGTCATCTTCGGACTCTAGCAGCGATGACTCCAGTGAAGGAGAATCTAGTTCCGAATCTTCTAGTGAATCTTCAAGCTCCGATTCTAGCTCAGAACCCCAGAAGAAACGCAAGCGCAAAGACAAGGACAAGAAGAAATCGAAGAAAGCAAGTAAGGAGAAGTCCAAAAAGGGAAAGAACAAAAAGGTGGAGAAGAAAAAGAAGGCGGAGAAGGAAAAACAGAAAGCTGAGAAGGAAAGGGAAAAGGAGAAGCAAAAGGAACGGGAGAAGGAAAGGGAGAAAGACAAAAAGCGCGAAAAAGAGAAAAAGAAGGCAGCCAAAAATAAATCAAAGCGCAAAAGGAAACGCCCGGAGAGCTCGAGTTCCAGCAGTAGCGATGGCAGCGAAAAGTCCACGTCCGAATCTTCTTCATCGAATTCTTCTAGCGAAGAAAGCGAAGCTGAGCCCCAGTCAAAGATTAAGCGCCAGGAGCAGATTCAAAAAAACAACAAATTTCGTGGACAACCGCAAGATAGTGACGAATTCAACCTGGAAGGTCCTGAATCTAGAGAACGCGACCGCAATCTGTCGAATGGTAATGGCCAGAGACGCAGGGACAACTCCTTTGGCAGAGATCGAAATCGAGACCGAGAGAATTCTTCATATGACAGAGAAAGAAACAGGGACAATTCATATGACAGAAAGAGGAAGGTCCAGAAGTCGGTCTCCCACGATAGGCAAAGAAAACGAGATAGGTCACTATCGAATGAGAAACCTCGCAGAAGAGAGAATTCTTCGCCCCGCGAGAGACGCGTTGAGAAGAAGAGTCGTGGTGAAAAAGACAATCGACGCGGTGATCGTTTGTCCAGAGATGAGAGGTCGGATCGTGGAGAGAGATCAGATCGTGGAGAGAGATCAGATCGAGGAGAAAGGTCAGATCGTGGAGAGAGGTCAGATCGCGGTGGTCGTCAAAAAGATCGTGATCGTGACAGGGATGGTGATTTCAAGAGGCAAAGGGGTCGAGAGAGGGAGCGTGACCGGGAACGCGTTCAATCTCGTGATCGTGACCGTGACCGCTCGCGAAGAGAGCGCAGTTCACACCGTTCCAAGGGGCGTGGCTGAAGTTGGAGACTGGACTGGAAACCGAGACGAAACCAAGGCATATACAAAATTGTGTTAAATATTTTACTTTTACATGTGTACAAAGAAAAACCCACTAAGCTGATAAAACAAAAATAAATGTACAAAATGCAACTGTCAAATAGTTGTACACGTTTTATTGCAGGCACTTGCTACAATGAGTTATCTAGCAATCTCACCGGTATATGCATTCTGATAAAAAAAATGTGTGCATCTAATTAGGATACAAGAAAAAATTGTAATATTTTGGCATACCAATTAAATAAATTTAATAGCAACAAAGCACAGATTTATTTTGAAGAACCTTTTTTTATTTATAACATGTTGGGGCTTTATTTATAATTCCCTAAATTCAATCCTATTTTGTACCTACTGACTTCAAAGGTACTTAATGGATCATTATCAGGGGTGTCCCAGAAACCGGCGACGGATTTGGGTTCGGTTGGTTTGGAGACTTCTTTAAGAGTTTCCGAGTATATTTGCTCTGATTTTAATAACATCTGTTTCAAAGTCTACTATTTGGTTGTTTTAAAATCGTGTACTTAATTTTAAAACGATTTCTGTGACACTAAGATTTGCTTTGTGGGTAATTTGGTTGGAGGAGATTTCCGTGACACCCCTGCTAATATTTATTTATTAAATAATTATATTACATAATTTTAATAATAAGGGACATTTTTTTTACTCAAATATGTCTTAATTTGTCTTACTTTAGGTAATAATAATAAACCAGCATAAACACTTTATTGATTATGTGAAAAAAAATATTTAAGATCAAAAAAACGGTTTTTTGAAATTTTTTTTAAAATTTATTTAAAGGAAACTTTTTGAGAAAACTGTCTGTCCTAACTTACAGATCTCTCCCCTACAGTTCTAGAGTTCTTCCGCAGTTAAATTCCCATTGCTTAAAAAAAGCTTAGCTTCCATAGTAAACAATAATGAAATAGAATTGGTAAAAAAAAAACAAAGTTAAACAGTTGAAGTAAAATATATCGGACAATCATGGTTTATCTTTTTTGTAATATTGTTTAACTTATCAGGTAAAAAAATAAACTGTAGCATGCTTTCTTTTAATTTGCTAAAACCCACTTTTAAGTTCACCTCTTATTTTAATATTTATTCATAAAATATAAATATTAGGGGGATTCCCTAAACTGTTGAATTGCTGAATTGTTGAATTTTGGTCAGCTGTTAATCAGCTGTTCCATACAAAGTCAACTTTCAGAAATTTCAGCAATTCAACAGCCTCGGGGCTGTTGAAAATTTTGTTGAATTGCTGAAAAGCCAGAGTTGTCACCTTTTTTTAAAAGTCGTGGCAACTCTGCAACATTTTAGTATCACCAGTACGCATTATTTATTTTAAAATCAACTTAGAAAGCATATTTGTGGTTCTTTTTACCTTGGTAACACTTTTAGACAGTAACTAGCAATAATAAATCAAATTTTACATGCTTTAAGTTCCGTGAAATTTTTCAAGAAATAACAGCTGTTTGAAAATTCAACAGGAACCATTTTGGGTCGTTCCCTTAATTGCTGAAATTTTTTGTTGAATTTTCAACAATTCAGCAATTCAACAGTTTAGGGAATCCCCCTATTTTTTTACCTAAAAGTCCCGCTAGAACCTGCTATATTTAATTGAAAAACCTGGTCACTATGATGTGCGTTGCCAACTATTTATCAGAAAAAAGCTTTTTCTGGCTTAAGAATAGCGTGAAAAAAGCTGGAAAAAAATAGGTAAATTGCTAAATTCTTATAAATTAAATTAAATTAAAGGAACGATAAAGGTACAATTTTTTAGACGTACAACATTTTAATTTTATTTTGTTATAAATTACAAATTATAGTCGATCTAAAAATAGCTAATACTAACGCAATTTAATAGACTCAGGAATTTACAGGTTGTATTTTATGTGGTACATTTTAAAATATGTTTTACATTTTAAAACATTTTAAAATATAAAAATAATATATATAAGAATTAGCTCCCGTTTCATGGCCCTAAAAAATAGCCAGATTTGGCGATAAAATACCCGCAGCCCTGGTTGCCAACCACGCTGCCATTGCCGGTTTGGTATTTTTTAGCCCCTTTATCCGAGTTTGGCCGGGTGCGTCCACACTATTTTCTTTCTTTTCGTTTCCCGAAACGTGAACACACGCGGATTTCGCTGGGCGGATTTTGAAAATCGATAAATAAGGTAATTATGGCAGCCATCCGAGCCGCAAAGCGAGTGATAAATGCTAACCGACGTGCGTACTTCTCCAATCCGTTGAAAAACAGCCGGCAAGATGACCAAGAAGCGCCGTAACGGAGGCCGCAACAAGCACAACCGCGGCCATGTGAAGCCCGTGCGCTGCACCAACTGCGCCCGCTGCGTCCCCAAGGACAAGGCGATCAAGAAGTTCGTCATCCGCAACATCGTGGAGGCAGCCGCCGTCCGTGACATCACGGAGGCCAGCATCTGGGACTCGTACGTGCTGCCCAAGCTCTACGCGAAGCTCCACTACTGCGTCTCCTGCGCAATCCACTCCAAGGTGGTGCGCAACCGATCCCGCGAGGCTCGCCGCATCCGCACGCCCCCACTGCGCTCCTTCCCCAAGGACATGGCCCGCAACAACCAGAATAGGAAGTAGAGATCTTGTCCAGCCGAGGAGCACTGGTTGCAGCCCACTGACATCTCTATATGGAGTCTAAAATCCAGCCGGGTTCCGCCATCCATTCGGATTGGGACCCCGCCAAGTTAAGCAGACGAAATATATGCATCCAGTTCTTTTTTAATTTGAAATAAACAGCGTGCTTCATTGGGAAACAGCTACTACTTACAAAAAACACCTACAATATAGACATACTTATTGTGCGTTTGTTACCACATCTTCGTATACAGTCCGGTTGGAGAAGAAAATCTTAGTCTAAACCAAGTGTAAGTTCACCGGAATGGAAAGTACGTCTCCAAACGCTCCAACTATTTTGTTTTGTACCTGTGGAGGTCGGCATTTTCGCGGGAACTGCCGATAAGAAACTTGGCGAAACGATCTCCATGGACACATCTACTACAGTATTCAATATTTAGTAATTTGTAAGCAGATTTGCGAGAACCTATGTTATCCAGCGAAAAACCACTGCTGACATGTGTGTAATCAATCCGGCTTTTCGTTAGTTTTTCTGAAACGTCCAAACTTCCGACAAGAAACGAGGCAAAGCCACCTATTTATGGAGGATCGCCTGCTACTCTATTATCATATTATCATAATCTTCTACTGAGATTTTTTGTATGTGAACCAGATTACTACTGATAATAATAGCGAAGATATGCAGTTTTTGCGATGGAAACTTTAAGCAGAACCAGTTTTAAGTAAGTCGGGTCCATCATTGAAGATAGCCACTAAAGAAAAAAAGCACATTTCTTTTGTGTTGTACAGAGTAACATCCATTACCACCTCAATATGTTATACGTTTGTAGGAGATGTGCTGATAAGTAAACCAGTCAATTACATGTAATCTCTGGCTTAAATATTATTTATGTTACCTCATTACTTGTGTTGTGGTCCGAGAGAAAGAGATCGGTATACATCACAGCAGCTGGTCTGACTTAAATTAACAATAATAATTAAATTGTATGGTTTTAAGGTAAAAACTCCCGCACCTACTTGTTCATAACTATCTCCCATCATCGACGCCTCCACTTGTTTCCTGTTCGGAGGTAGACTTATTCGTGTGTGATATCTCATTTCCGGCTTCCACCGGCTTCAGGAATCCGCGAGAGGTGGATGTAATGCGGAGATAGAGTTGGGTAAGTGAATTTTTATTTTACTGATTATTACTTATAGTTTTTGGTTCACAGTTGAAATAGATTGTTTTCATTTCAATTTCAATTTTTTTAAAAAATATGTTTGATTCATTTGACTGATTAAGCGAACTTGTTTTTATTAAAAAATTAAAAGTCAATAAACTCTGAGAGGGAAAATGAATTGTAAAAGAACTCTTTAAGAATATGTCACAAAAGTTTTGCGAAGAAAGTCCAAGACCTGCCTTGTGCGAAAGATAAGAAAAAACTTAAAATAGAAATCTCTTGGAAGAATAACTATGTTATCCACAAGGCAAGTCACAAAATAATAGCTCAACTCATACTGTTTTTTATTGGTGAACAAAATTAAAAAACCAATTACATTTTTATGTAGAAATCAACTTAAGCTTTCGTGTTCTTCCGCAGTGGCGCCCCAGTGCAACGTAAAATGTAAAACGCATGTACAATGTATCTACAGTGTACACACGAAAGGTTTATCTGTTAAAAGGCTTACAAATGCCAAACAGGAAAATTCTTTACTTATTTACTATTAATTCATAAATAAATAAATATTTTTTAATGTTTTTTTTGGTTTCGCCACATTAATATAAATAAATTAAAAAAAATATATTTTTATTTCGAAATTTAAAATAAGTCTTATTTTCAAGAGAAATTTTAAGAAGATCGTTTAATGTTAAAATGGTTGGTAACTAGAAAAATTCTTTTAAACTAAATACGTATAATATTTTGTCAGAAATAAAATAATCGGGGGTGTCACAGAAATTATTTCCAACCGAAATCCGTTAAAGTTCTTACGTGCATCAATGCAAAAATCCAACCGTCTTCGGTTGGAAGAGATTTCTGTGACACCCCTGAATGTAACAATATTATTAAGTTTATAATTCGATCGTGAAAATTGTAGTATTCTTATATACCCTTGGTAATTGTGGGCTGCAAGGGTAAATCCTTGCATACTGTTTTTTGGCATAAATTACACAGACGTGAGTGCAAAGGCAAATGAGTGCGTGGGTGTGGGTGAGTTGGGAGGGGTTGCGAGAAAGTACGGACCTGCCTCCAATGGGTCACATGCGTATATATGTATGTGTGCCTGTACACTTCCTTTTCCTGCTTACCCTTTTTTATTTTTTTCTTGAGCCGTAACAATTTTTTCTTGGCTTTCTGCTGTTTCAGCAGCAGCTCGCTGTGCTGAATTATTGTTTTCGTTTTGCCGGGCAAATAAAAATAAAACGTAGACATAAGCAGCAGCCGTTGATCATTTAGCATAAATTAAATAGAGCAAATACAAGTGCTAATGAAAGTTATGATGATGATGTGTGCAG